TCTCTCACACACACACACACACACACACACACACTCTGATCTGGTCAGCTTTTCATCAGGAAGTTGAAAAGCGTTTCAGAACACAAGTAAGTGGAGGGGGGACTCATTTGCATATTCATGTTTTATTCATAAGCATCATTTACCACAGTGAGGCACAATGCATTTATTTAGTGAATACTAATTTATGTAAAACCATGAAATTGGCAAAGTTCAGCAAAACCGAAAGATCACAGACACACACACACACACACCTCCTGATTCTCATGCTCATTTATTCAAGTCAACACCCTTGTGTTGTAGTTTATTCCTCTCACACACACACACACACACACACACACACACACACACACACTCACACACACACACACCTGTGATCTGATTGCTTTAATGCATTTATTAATACTCATTCTTTCTTACGCAGTGTTAATGAGCAGCTGATGATCAGGTAATGAACAGGATGAACATTCATGAGATAATGAGATTCTGACGTTTGATGAAACTATGCATGTGTAAAAACATCATAATCACACGTACAGTAACACACATGTGCTGTGTGTGTGTGTCAGTGAACAGCAGACTTGAGCAGTTTGTGTGTGTGTTGATCACTAACATGAATTCTTCAGTGTAAACGTGTGATTTGAGCGGTAGATCGTGCTGCTGAGGTGGATAAACGTCTGCTGACATCTTTCCTCTGAACATGAATCTGAAGCCTCTGACTAACCGAGAGAATAAATGTGAGCTAGACGTGTTTTCAAAGACATTTTCAATATTTGAGAAACACAACTGAAACGACTCAATCACAGTCGTGTGATGCATGACGTCTCTGACTGAGCCGCTCAGCGCTGGTTTAGAGCCGGTTTAATGTTACAGCAAACACTGATAACACTTGATTAATGTTCCAGCTGTTGTGCTAAGAACATTAACAGTAATGTTCCAGGCCTCCGTCTCCAACCTTTAGTGACCTTCTGTGGAAAAGAGGATCTCCAGCATCGATCCACACACACACACACACACACACACACACAGATGGTCAATACTTTAAACAGCATTCAGCTCTTTTCAGTAAATGCAGCTCCCAGCACGTCTGCAGCAGTCAATGAGAAACATCTTCAGGACAACAGATACACTGTGAACATGAAACCACTCATCAACACACACACACACACACACACACACACACATCAAACCCCCGCTGCTCCACATGAATCACACACACACACACACACTTCTCTGGCTGAAACTCTTTCGACTTCCTGTCTGACAGAAAGAGAACATGCTGACAGAATCCAGGTCAGAGCGTTTGAAGGTTCTTCTGTGAGTCTGAAGGACATGCAGACACTGAACCGACGATCACTTCAGACTGACAGAACCCTCACAATCAGGACAGCAGGACAGGAGCCTGATGCTTTGTGGTCACTAGGTAGTTCTAGGTGGTTGCTAGGCAGTTTTGGATGATGTGTTGTGGTTGCTAGAGTGTCATGGGTGATGCAATGTGGTTGCTAGGGTGTTCTGAGCGATGCTATGTGGTTGCTAGGCAGTTTTGGATGATGTGCTGTAGTTGCTAGGGTGCTGTAGGTGATGTTTAATTGGGTTGCTAGGGTGTTCTGAGTGATGCTATGTGGTTGCTAGGTAGTTTTGGATGATACGATGTGGTTGGTAGGGTGTTGTGGGTGAAGTGATATGGTTGCTAGGGTGTTCTGGGTGATGCTATGTGGTTTCTAGGCAGTTTTGGATGATGTTCTGTGGCTGCTAGGTAGTTCTGTGTGGTTGCTAGGGTGTTGTGGCTGATGTGGTGTGGTTGCTAGGGTGTTCTGAGTGATGCTATGTAGTTGCTAGGTAGTTTTGGATGATGTTCTGTGGTTGCTAGGTAGTTCTGGGTGGTTGCGGGTGATGTGATGTGATGTGGTTGCTAGGGTGTTCTGAGTGATGCTATGTAGTTGCTAGGTAGTTTTGGATGATGTGCTGTGGTTGCTAGGGTGCTGTGGGTGATGTTTAATTGGGTTGCTAGGGTGTTCTGAGTGATGCTATGTGGTTGCTAGGTAGTTTAGGATGATATGTCAACGTCACGTTACTGCCCTCGTTCACAGTGATGTCGTCCGAAACTTTATAGATGACTGGAGGAACTGAGAGAGAAAACCAGAGCAGAACGACATGAGCGGGAAACACTGAGGGATGCTGGGAGATTTGTGTTCATGCTTACACACAGATACACACACATCAGAGTGTCGCTCATAAACATCCGCTTGACCTCACAACACACACACACTCATAATAAACTCTGCGGTGTTTAATGCGGATGCTGCAGAGCATCAATAAAGCCAAACACATGTGGAAATATCACACACACATCATCTGTTATGAGCCGCAGAAACACTCGTCCATTATTCCCGCACACGTCTGATCAATGTACACGCAATCCCACATATTCATCAAACCCATGCGCCATTTATTGAAGCGCTTTGTCATTTTCTGAATTTACTCTGAGATCCAGACTAACGTGAACTCAGAGCTGCAGCTTCAGCAACACAAACCTGCCATAAATCAGTGGCAAGAGACAGAGATTCATCTGCAGCACATCTGCCTCCAGCAGCGCTCATACGCATTCATCTGTGTCTGTCAGCACTCACTCACAGACCCCGCCCCTTATAACTGAAACCCCGCCTCCTCCATACACTAATCTACACCACAGCGCTCATCCCACATTCATCTGTGATTCTAGCAGATTTGACATGCTTCCCTCATGAGTGTATTTCAGACCGTAAGAAGCTCAAGCATCAGCAGACAGACAGCATCATGATCAAGATACAGTGAGCTCATGCTGCTCTCGCTCCTTCATCAATATTTCACTTTCACATGAACATCCTCACACCGCGTTCACATCATAAGCAGCTCCAGAGCCTCTTCAGTCTGCGGCCCAGCAGAGCCAACGCTTCCTTCTGTCTGAACTGCACACCAGAACAATAAACCTGCAGCGTTTGATCGATTCTGAAGATGAACGACATTTGCCTGCAATTTATTTTGTCAGGAGGTGTCTTTTATTTTGTGCTGCGCAGCAGAGCTGCTCGTATTAATCTTGAGGAAACTTGCACAGCCAAGTGGATCTTCTCTAATTGTATAAAGATTTATGATTTTGCAAAAACAAAACTGCAGCATACAATACCTAAGACTAATGAACATGTTCCTGCATAGAAAACCAGAGTGGGTCTCCCTCCTCCCGCATAAATCTGGCCTGCGCTTCGCCAAAAACCCTTCAGACGCCAGCGACAGCAGAAACCTTCAGATGTGACGCAGAAGAACTCATCGCTCATCAGCGCAGTGTGAAATCAGCTTCCATTGATGTATGGTTTGTTAGGATAGCACAATATCTGGCTGAGATGCAACTATTTGAAAATCTGGAATCTGAGGGTGCAAAAAAAATCTAAATATTGAGAAAATCATCTTTAAAGTTGTTCAGATGAAGTTCTTAGCAATGCATATTACTAATCAAACATTAAGTTTTGATATATTTACGGATATAAGATAAGATACAGTAAACTTTAAAATGCTAATATTTACTAATGATATTTACAAATTTACTTTTAATATTTACTTTTGGAAACATTTAAATATATATTTTTAAAAATATGAATTTTCCTCATTTTCAAACTTTAAATCAGCAATCCTTCGGCGGGCTGCCAAGCGCTGCTGGGTTTAGCATTGAAGAGCATCAGTGGCTGAAATGTCACAGTTTTGCACTGTTCTTACAAAACGAGAGCAGCGAGCCTAGATTTATGCTTTTAATTAGGATAGAAACCAGATACAGTAGTTTGTTGATCTAAAATTGTAATTTAGACCATACGTGCCATTTTTTCCGGATGCGTCCTGGCCAGGATTTCTATATTGCCTAAAATATCTAGGTTTTGGCTTTGTTTGTGCGTGCAGACCGATCGGTGTATGACATCAAAGTACCATACAGACGGTTCTGCTTTCGAAACGCTCTCGAGGTACTTTGACGTCAAACACTGATCGGTCTGAGCCGCACTGCTTTTAAGTTGAACACACCTAATATGTGCGCATAATTGCATCGCTTTGACCGTAGATCCCACCTTCTCAGTTCTCACACGCCATGATTGGTCCATTATGTGCAATGCTTGCATGTTATTGGTCAAACTGCTTTTCGATCATTACCTTCAGCAAGCATGAAAACAAAGCCAAAACAAATCCTGGCCGGGACGCGTCCTGGGAAAAATGGCACGGTACCATACAGACGGTTCTGCTTTCGAAACGCTCTCGAGGTACTTTGATGTCAAACACTGAGCGGTCTGAGCCGCACTGCTTTTAAGTTGAACACACCTAATATGTGCGCGTAATTGCATCGCTTTGACCGTAGATCCCACCTTCTCAGTTCTCACACGCCATGATTGGTCCATTATGTGCAATGCTTGCATGTTATTGGTCAAACTGCTTTTCGATCATTACCTTCAGCAAGCATGAAAACAAAGCCAAAACAAATCCTGGCCGGGACGCGTCCTGGGAAAAATGGCACGTATGGTCACCCTAACACAGTGGTTCCCAAACCTGTCCTGGAGGACCCCCTGCCCTGCACATTTTGTATGTCTCCCTAATCAGACACACCCAATTTAGTTATTGCAGTCTCTACTAACGAGCTAATAAGCGGAATCAGGTGTATTAGATAAGGGAGACATACAAAAGGTGCAGGACAGGGGGTCCTCCAGGACAGGTTTGGGAACCACTGCCTTAATAGAACCACTGATCTATAATAGAGATTTATTATATATAGATCAGTCAATAGAACGCATTATAATCAGTGATGCTGTCTGCTCTGGATGCGGCGCGACACGACAAATCCCCGACAGCAAACTGATGCCGCGTTCTGTTTGTGACGTACATGCTGACACAAATTTCAACTGATGTTCAACAGTCGCTTTGTCAGACTTTAGCTGATGCGGCTCGACATAAAATTTCACTTACCACATAAACAGAGTAAGGAGAGATGACTGAGGATGATGGCGAATGATTTGCAGATCCTCAGTACCTCTGACAAACATTTAATCTTGTCAAATGTGTGGCAAGTACTGCCGCTCCGTAGTATAAACAGAGTACGTGCGATCTCGAAAGTGAAAGTGAAACTAAAAGCGATGCCAGTTTCAATGCCAGGTATACTAGCGGCTCCCTGATGCCGAAATATATATGATGTATAATTACCCAGTTATATAACTGCGAGGAAAAATATTGAAATATATATTTTCCTTCCATCTCGTATTTATTCCCTTTAGGGGTTCCGCCTACACGCTACTGGGATGCGGGGGGGTCACGAAGCCGGCTCAACATCGTGATGTCTATCAGCTATCGGTGATGAACTTATCGTCTATCGGCCCAACCCTAATTTACACAGCGCATTTTTACTTAGGTTACGCATATTAGATCATGAATTAATAAAATGCCGTCTCTGCAGTCACACAGAGATTATAAGTATCGTGCGAAACCGCAAAGTTTATAATTTGCATGCACTCTGAAAAATGATCCGTTTAAACTTTTCAACGATTTTGCTTCTGTCTTATTGTGCTTAATCTGTCAAATACACATAAGCTTCACATAATCGAGCTGCACGATCAATTATATTTAAATCACGATCACAATTTATGCTTCTCTTGATTTATTAAGCTTACTCCTCTGCGATATTTTCCACATTTATCCATTTATTTGGCATTTGCGTCGTCTTGCATTGGTAACGAGCCTCCACAAGCTGTCATGGTTGCGGTTGCCAGGTGCCAAGAGTTTAAATCCCCAATCAGAGCTCTTCTCGAAACATTTATCTTCCCAACCTGGCAACCATTCACACATGCGCTCTCTGCATTATGGAAAAAACAAACATGTAAGCTGGAGTTTAGTGATCTCTATTGAGATTTTCTGCTCAAATAATAGTGTCATATACAGCCAGTCTATTTGCTGCGTCTAAATCTGTGTGCAAACCATGTTGATGTTCTCTTGATTTGTGCTATAATTCTGATGAAATATAAACAATTAAATGACAATATTTGTGAGTGAATCGTGATGAACAGTTTAACCATTATCACGCAGCAAATGCAAACAGTGGTGAGAATATCAGATGTGTGTTATACTCTGGATCCATGCATTCAGTCTTAAAGTGACAGCAGTCGTCTGTGTTTTTAATGTCAGTCAATCAACAAAAGAGTAAATCTCTCACTGCTGTTGACTGAATAATACAGTGAAGACTGTGCAATGTTTTATCTATTCAATTTCTTACTTGAATGCTGCTGCTAATCAGACCTACTGTAGCTGGAAAATTAAAGCCGGTTATTTCACGTGTCGCTCTTATATTGCATTTGCCCTACTCTTTGCATCTTTGAAATAAAGGCGTAAGAGAGGATGAGCTGTCATTGGTCTGACGGCCTGTCAATCACACGGCGCTCACCTTGAACGATGAGATAGACCTGTGACGTCTTGGGCTGCTGTTTGGTCTGGATGGAGCAGGTATACGGACCCTCGTCGAACACATCCACCTTCTGTATCCGCAGACTGTACTCCAGCTGACCCTGAGTCACCAGCTCCACCCGCGGGTCCAGAGACCACTTATCCTCACCCGCGAAGATGATGTTCGAGCGGTTCAACCAAGCCACCTTCGACACCTTATCGTCCACATAACACCTGACAGAGAGACAGACAGCTTGGGTCATTATCACACATATCCAGACGGGTCCAGATACACTCCTGTCATCCTTTAACTAGATTTGAGTGAGTGACAAACAACCTTCAGACGTCACTGCGCTGAAAAAAATATTTTCACTCAGAAATTGGTAGTAAATTCACAAATCAATACAAAGAAATGACAAGCATCACAGTTAAAGGAATAGTTCAGCCAAAAATGAAAATATGTTGAAAATGTGCTCATCCGAGATCAGGATGAGTTTGTTTCTTCATCAGGTTTGTAGAAATGTAGCACTGCATCAGTGTCTCAGCAATGGATGCTCTGCAGTGAATGGGTGCCGTCAGAATGAGAGTCCAAACAGCTGATAAAAACATCACAATAATCCACAAGTAATCCACAGCACTCCAGTCCATCAGTGAACATCTGGAGAAGACAAAAGCTGAAACACATCCAGCATTAAGATGCTTTTAACTAAAATACATCGAGTCCATAATCCATAATAGCTCTTCCTCCAGTGAAAAAGTGCATCTGCTGTTGTCTCTCGCATCAAAATCCAGCCACATATGTGTTTAGAGCTGTTTAAACGCTGCTTGATCTGTGCAGGTTTCTCTCCTGATTCACACCAGAACACTGACTCACTGGAGGAAGAGTTATTATGGATTATGGACTCTGTGTTTTAGTTAAAAGCGTCTTAATGCTGGATTATTTTCAGTGCGTCTCACTGCAGGTTTCATTCATATTCCAGTGTGGATCACAATCTTCCTTGCTTTCGAGCGTGAAGCTCTACGGATGACGCGTTCATTCTGGTTCACGAGGACATAATCAAAGCCGGCGTGTGTGAGAGTGTGTGAGCTGCACACGCAGGACTTTCTGTCCGTGATTCTGGCTGATCTCCACTCGCTCACACGGAGTTTCCTCTAATTACACCGCTGAGAGACTCTGTTAACCAGCAGCTGCCAGACACTGTCTCTCTCTGTCTGTCTGTCTCTTCAGCAGGGACAACAGCGCTGTGTGTGTGTGTGTGTGTGTGAGAGAGAGTGTGTGAGAGAGTGTGTGTGAGAGAGTGTGTGTGAGAGTGTGTGTGTGAGAGTGTGTGTGTGTGAGAGAGAGTGTGTGTGTGTGCGTGTGTGTGAGAGTGTGTGTGTGTGAGAGAGAGTGTGTGTGTGTGCGTGTGTGTGAGAGTGTGTGTGTGTGAGAGAGAGTGTGTGTGTGTGCGTGTGTGTGAGAGTGTGTGTGTGTGAGAGAGAGTGTGTGTGTGTGCGTGTGTGTGAGAGTGTGTGTGTGTGAGAGAGAGTGTGTGTGTGTGCGTGTGTGTGAGAGTGTGTGTGTGTGAGAGAGAGTGTGTGTGTGTGCGTGTGTGTGAGAGTGTGTGTGTGTGAGAGAGAGTGTGTGTGTGTGCGTGTGTGTGAGAGTGTGTGTGTGTGAGAGAGAGTGTGTGTGTGTGCGTGTGTGTGAGAGTGTGTGTGTGTGAGAGAGAGTGTGTGTGTGTGCGTGTGTGTGAGAGTGTGTGTGTGTGAGAGAGAGTGTGTGTGTGTGCGTGTGTGTGAGAGTGTGTGTGTGTGAGAGAGAGTGTGTGTGTGTGCGTGTGTGTGAGAGTGTGTGTGTGTGAGAGAGAGTGTGTGTGTGTGCGTGTGTGTGAGAGTGTGTGTGTGTGAGAGAGAGTGTGTGTGTGTGCGTGTGTGTGAGAGTGTGTGTGTGTGAGAGAGAGTGTGTGTGTGTGCGTGTGTGTGAGAGTGTGTGTGTGTGAGAGAGAGTGTGTGTGTGTGCGTGTGTGTGAGAGTGTGTGTGTGTGAGAGAGAGTGTGTGTGTGTGCGTGTGTGTGAGAGTGTGTGTGTGTGAGAGAGAGTGTGTGTGTGTGCGTGTGTGTGAGAGTGTGTGTGTGTGAGAGAGAGTGTGTGTGTGTGCGTGTGTGTGAGAGTGTGTGTGTGTGAGAGAGAGTGTGTGTGTGTGCGTGTGTGTGAGAGTGTGTGTGTGTGAGAGAGAGTGTGTGTGTGTGCGTGTGTGTGAGAGTGTGTGTGTGTGAGAGAGTGTGTGTGTGTGTGTGTGTGTGAGAGTGCTGGACACTCGCTGTGGGCTCGCCTGAGGCAGCCAGTGTGTCAGACACTAATGAGACAGACAGGAGATTTGCTGAGGCAGTCAGAGACAGACCGACAGACAGAGCTGCAGTCTCTGTATGAGTTTAATCAGCTCAGGCTGTCTTACACACACACCAGGGTGTCTACAGATATGAACAAGTTAAATTTAAGACTTTTTAAGACCTTTTTAATACCACCTTATGTGAAATTTAAGACCAAGCCTGTGATGGAAATACACATTATATTACATACGTCTATGTAATATTTAATGCGTTTAAATGTAAAAAGAAAACCAAATATCATCGCTGTCAAAAATTCTATTTGTTATTACGATATACAGTGAACTTTTCATATCAGCAGACAATATCCCATACAAAATATTCCCACAAAACAAAAGTGTCGCATCACCGAGATTTGTGGTGGTGTAAACGATTTATTCTGAAGCAATATTTTCATCAGCTTTCTGTCAGCTTTTACATACTTAAATCTGCATGTTTTTAATATTTACCACAGGATGTCATTTACCTTTATAAAGGCCAATATTTGTTTTTTTTACCTTATTAAATGTATGCGTCATCTTTCATGTCAAATTCTTACAATTGATCAAGAAATTTAATACACTACAGGGCTGCTACCAATCAAATTAAATTATTACAAAATTACAACAGCAATAAATAATGTTATGGAATTAATGTTGTAAATACAATTTTGAACATACAAATAAGAAATGTTGGGGAAAATGCAAACTTTTAAGCATGAGACTAAACCGCCAGTAGGTGGCGGTAAGTCACTTATTCCTTCAAACCTCTGAATCATTCAGTAACATAAATGTTAGTGTTGCTTGGAGTGTGCGCAATAATTCTGTTCTGATCTTAGTTTGGAACTATTTTCGTTGGTGAAATAGAACAAAACATGTAAGTAACTTCATATACTTTACTACTTGTTTGTTGAATTAAAATCAATGTAACATTTGCCATCTTGAATATAAATATTCAGCAAAATAGCTCCCTTGTCATGGTATGTTACTTGATGATATCATGCTATAAATAAACTAAACATTTAGAATTTGTACCTCAGTGTGTTTGTTCTGTGAGTTTCTTTATGTGTGCCGTACACTCATTTGATTTGATTTCTCCATGAAAGTCTCTCACAGAGACAGCACGAGCCTCAACAGCACGACATTGATCATAGAAATACACTATCCATTATCAATCGCTGTTTAAGCTGAATGCAATAAAATCAGAAGAATCATTTGCGCGTTTAGATGCGTGATTATATTTTGTCACTTAAGTTTTAATCAGGCTATTAGTCCTGTCGGGCAAGTACAATTCTCAAGCCATTTTTCAGTAAACTTGCATGAACCCATTTAAAGTAGTT